GGGCGGGGCCGAGGGCGGGGCTGGGCGGGACTGGGGGCCCCGCCCCACCTGCTGCCTTAGCGGGAGCCCTACCCCCTCCCCATGGGCTCCCAGTTCCGTTAGTCCCCATTTAGCAGATGGGAAAACTGAGTCTCAGCAGCAGAGGATCCCAAGAGCTTTGTAGCGAGTAAACCAGACCCTAGTGGTCTAAATACAATCCAGCCTCTGAGTGCTGTCACTCGAGCCCCCTTTGTGCATCCTGACTGTCCCCAGCCCTGCAGCAGGATCGAGTGGCTTCTGGGGACATAGGACTAAATAGGTCCTAGGAGTCAGGAAGTCGTGAATGTCTCCCACAAGGACTTGGCTAACTCTCCTGACTGATGCTCCTGGGTGGTATTAAAAAAACTACAGCTGACCAGGCAACTAGATGCCAGACAAGAGGTGAAGTCAGACTAGTCCTGCAGCCCTGCAAAGGGTGGGCATCATGACACACCCAGCCCCAGTACTAGTCTGAGATCACTGGACAGAGCCCAGATGAGAACCACAAGCCTCCTTGGCAGCCATGGGCCTTTACGTGGGGAGACCTGCCAGGGATCTCTCTTGACACCCCTTGTCACTGCCTTATTCAAGATAGTCAGAACCAGCCCTGATGCTCCTCCTATAAGCTGACAGAGGCCCTCCCTCTGCCCCCCAGACTTCTGAATTGGTCATTTTTCCTCTTTCCCAGTCTCCATTTCTGAATTCCTTCTGCAATTCTATTACCTTTGGGATTATCCTAGCTCTGAAGGTGCATAAACCTAGTCAGTTTTTCCAACCCCAGCCATGTCTGGGTTAACATATTTTTCTGGACATGCTCCCTGCAAAGCAGGGCTCCTGACTGCTGTCCAGAAGAGCGGGGGACTCACCTGTGGTCCGGCCTCCAGTCATCCCCTGGGCACCGGTGGCAGCTGTTCTTATGAGCAGATGGAACAGCCAGCGTCTTGCCGCTTCTGGAGGCTGTGGGTCGGAAATGGAGAACAAATTGGGGCCTTGCTTACTCTCGTGTCCAGGGCCTGGGAAGAAGCTTGGAGTCCAAGCTTCCGTATAGCTATGTTTCGACCTGCAAACCCTTCTGCTTACCCATCATGTCCCAGGTTAATCTGGCCTGGTTCGCAGAAGCAGCCCCTGACCACAGAAAGCATGGGCTTGATCTACCGAGCTCCCCACCATCGGTCAAATGTGACCCTGCTGAGTAGAACGGGTGTCCCCTTCCCCTCAAGAAGCCGAGTGCAGTGTGCAGACTATACACTAACAGGAAAGGCCCGGCAGCTCAGAGTTCTGGTCTGGCCCACCTTGGTTGGTGCACAGGAGCCGAAGGGAGGGATTTCTGAACAAGGTCTCGCCTCTGTTCATTGGCTACCACCCTGCTCTAGAACTCCTCCTGTCAAATGGGACTATTGTTCTAAATGGGGTTCCTGGGTCTCCTGCCCCCCAAACCCATACAGACATTTATCCCTCAGTCTCAGCAGTAAACACCTGCACCTGATGCCAAGGCGGGGAGAACCCTGCGCAGCTTTTGCCCTTGCCCCATTTTGGTTCCTGGAGCTGTCGTCATCTGAACCTTTGGCCAGCGGGTCTCTCTCCACTGTCTGTTGGCAGAGGGCAACTTAGGTAGCTCTTAGTGGTCTTCTCTGCCTGAATTTACCTAGGCGGAGACCTAACCATCTTCTAGTCTGAAAAAGGTGTGCTTCCCAGAGATGCCCCTGACTGGAGGGAAGGTCCAAGAAGCCCCTCTATGGTTTGGGGGGCCCTAGGCAGAGGGAGCACAAGAGGCTTCACCAGGAGCCAAGATGGACCGATAAGATCACCCAGGTGACCCCAACTGCACCTCATAAAGCTGTCCCTAAGCCTGAAGCCCAAAAGAGATGGGCTCATCCTCGCCCCATTCTGTGCCCCTTGATGTGCATAGCTCATCCTGGTTACAACGTGGCTTTTGGGTTCCCACTCTAGAGACTAATTTCCTGGCCAGCATCCCCATTCCCCAAGAGTGCAAGCTTAAGAGATCACAGCCCTGTCTTAGCTGAGTAGAGGACATAAGCCTTGACCAGAGGGTCCTACGGGGCTGAGCTCTGACGCCTAGCCAGGGGATCCTCTCAAGAGAAAGAGTGGGGCCAGGAGGCAGGTGGGTGGGGTGCCAAGCTGCTCTCAACTTATTCTTGCATGGGTTGGTTTCATGCTGCTGGGCATCCAGGGCTGAGGTGTGGAGTCCTGGCTGAGCCACCCAGAACAAGTGCTGGGCTGACAGGCCGTAAGGTCTCCTCAGCTAGATGGGAACGGCTAACAGTGAGGAGAGCATACCTCACAGTTGAGCGGACCCAGCTGATGGGTACTACAGCCATCTATCTCATTTGGGTCCTGGGACACTCAAGACCCACACCACCCACTTTCTACCCTGCAGGGCCATCCTGCATACCTGATGCCGCCCAGGCCTGGCCTTGGCCATCTCTGCTGCCTCCATGAGTCAGTCACGCACCCTGCCCTTCAAGGGAGCGTCTGCTGCCCAAGACCCCTCTTAAGGTCTGCCTTCCTTGTCCTGTCAGCTTCAGCCTTCCTCGTGGCCCGCACAGCAGCCTGCTGGTGCCCAGAGGCTCCTCCCGAGCAAGGAAGGGTGGCTTTTTATGCTCCATCCCGTGTAAATCGGGATTGGGATGGGCCCTTCCCGCCGGACTTCCTGTGTGTGTTCTCTGCTGATAACAGGGATCCGTCAGCGAACAAACAGGAGGCCAAGGGGCTGAGGGGGGCATTAAGGGAGGGGGACTGACCAAACTGTGGAGGAGGGGGTTATTGTTCCCCTGGGACTCCAGGGTCTAGCCCTGAAGCAGCCAGAGACCCAGCCTGTGTTCAGGGACAACCTGGCTAGTGAAGGTGTGAAACAGAAAATGTGACCAGGTCCTTCCCGTTACACAGAGGTAGCAGGACCATAAGACTCCATGGTCCTTTGGGACACAGGAGCTTGGTTGCTCCCTAAATGGATGTGACACCGAGTAGGTACCTGAAAGGGGAAGCCTGCCCCCACTGGAGCGTGACCAGGACACATGCTGGGGGTGTACAGTTGGATGGGAATTGGAAGTAGGCCAGGCAGATGGTCTGAGAAGAGCTTGTTCTGTGGCTCCCAAGGCCCAGGACTGGGTCAAACACCGGCTCAGACTCAGCTCAGACTCTCCTAGGTCCCAGGCTTTCTTTCCAGGAGAGCTGCCCAGGCTGACAGTGAGCCAGCCCCCTGTCTCCAGAGGTGTGCAGGCAGATGTAGCTGAAAGCCTCCAGGCCCAGTTGACACGGGGGCTCTGGGATGACTATCCCTACGACCTGGGGAGCAAAGGGTGCTCTTAGCCTCTCCTCCCCTCCCTTAGCCCCAGCAGGCTGTGAGAGGGAGAGAGGTCGTTTGGTGGCAAAAGTGAGGCTCCCTAGGGTCCTCACTTTTCCTCATTCCCTCATTCCCTAGGGTCCCGGTTCCCAGTGTGACACTCAGCAGTGGGAGACTCGCGTCAGGCACAGAGGCCCTGTGGAAGTGGATGGGAGGAATGCGGTGCCAAGGGCTGGGCAGCTGCCAAGAACAAGCCCAGATCTTGGTAACTGAGGGCACCCAGAGTGAAACTTTTTCACCCCTGACGGTCCCTAATGGTACCAGCCTGCCCGATGATGTCAGGGCATCTTTTCTCTGTGTTAACACTCTCCCACCCCACCCAGCGGACACCTTGGGCGAGGATGGAGGTAGGGAAAGCCTGGGGGCTTCCTGGTGGAGTGTTGGGTTGGAGATGCTGCCCCCACCCTGCACCATCAGCACCCTCCCTCTAACCCGGCCAGGGGAGGAGACTGCTGAAGGACTCAACCTGTGGGCAGGGAACAGAACTCCAGTCAATTAGGATGATACACTTCTCCCAGAGCTCAGTTTCCCCATTTGTCCCAAAGGGACAGGAGAGGTGTTGGTCAACAACAGAGTCATGATGGTTAAAGGGGCTCATGGCATCCAAATGTTGCTGGTCTGAATGTCTAGAGATAGATTTTAGAAAGTGTTCTTGTCTTAAATTCAGACCTGCGAAATGAAGACCCCGTTCCCACCTCCTCCTCCAAGCACACACACTGGTCCCACCCTCAGCCCTCCACTGCCTTGCTCTTCTTGGACTCTCCGTTCACCCAAGGGCTCATACTGTCCACAAGGGCCAGAGTATCCCTCTCTCACGTCACCTGGGCCTGCCCCTCTGTATCCCAGCTTGTGTGCTGAGCCATCTGCCTTTCCCTCATCCACAAAAGGATCAGTGAACATTGGACTGGTTAGGTCCAGATGCTTTGTGTACTGAAAGGGAAACTGAGGCTCATAGAGGAAAGAGACTTGGCCAGGTGAGCACTGAAGTGGACCAGAGATGAAACAGGTTAGCTCAGGAGCAGCCCCCTCCTTCCCTCCTTCCCTCCTTCCCTCCTTCCCTCCTTCCCTCCTTCCCTCCTTCCCTCGTCATCAGACTTGGCTGGGCCAGCAGTGGCTGAGGTTGCAGAGTTGTGACCCACCCTCCTACTGGTGCTCAGTGCTTAGGGAAACTGCCGAACTTACAGGTGTGGAGACAGGCTCCAAACCAGTCCCGTGGGTCTGCCTGTGGAAACCTGTGAAGGACCGCAAGCCAGTGGGGGTGGTCTTGCTAGTCTGTTGTCTGTGTGTCCGCCTTCATCTCCTGACTACTCTGTCTTCCCCTACCTCAAACTAGTCAAGACGGATGACCAAGAAAAGAGATCCTTGGTTCAGAGTCCCAGTGTGCCAGCTTTGCCCCCACACTGTCACCTGAATCCCAGCATGGGTGATGACTCACAGACATCCCTCAATCCCAGGGACAGATTGAGAGGGCAGGCTGGAGTCTCACCTGGACACTGGGCACGGCAGGGACAGAAAAAGGAGTGAATACAAGGAGAGGAGTAAGAGTTGATTGACAGGCCCCTGGAGCTGCAGAAGGAGCTCTCTAGGGAGATCAGGGACTCCCCTCTTCACCCCTGGAGTGCCTACTGCTTCAGGCCTCTCTTTTCACGGTGAAGCTTGTTTATAGTCACACAGGCTGGAAGGAGCCAGAAGCACCTCCTACTCAGGTCTGCCATCACCCACTGCCACTAGGGCACCCACACCCACACACCCGTCTCCCACAGCTCCTGCAGACTGGAGACCAGATGGGCACAGCCCATATCTGGGCCTAAAGCCCTGGGCCAGGAGCCCAACCCTGTTTAAAGCGTCACTGAAGGCAGGAACTGCTATAGTCAGGAAACTACTCCCCCACACTGTGCCTCAGTTTCCCCGCGTATCTCAACTACCTCCTAGCCTACCTGTTCATGCTCTGAGGTTGATGGTTACCAGGACCATGGTTGCCTTACCTTCCCACAGGCCAGGTAGGGTGCAGGGACAGGGACTGAACAGAGGCTTTCTGGTCTCCCAGGACTCTCCTTGGACTCCTCACCGCTGAATGTCTGGCCCCAGGAGAGGGAGGACCTAGGTCTCGGCAGAGGCCTGCATGGGCATCTTGGAGAGTACAAGACCGAGGGGCAGCAGGAACAGACGTATGAGCCAGCTGCACCTCAGGAAGGAAAGACCAGCATACTGCACAGAAGAGAAATGGGGCTTCCTGTTTATCTCCCCGCTTGGTGGCTGGCCTAGGGACAGGATGGCTCTGTCAGCCAAGCCTAGGCCCAACTTCCCATCAAAGGATGCTGAATGGTCAGTCCTCACTGAGGGCTGGAAAGGACATGGCCGGGTAAGGTGCCGCATGGACCAATAGTTAGTCCACCGTTGAGCTAAACAGAGGGAAGAAAGGGCTTAGATAAACAGAAATGGAGTCTGTGGCACGACCTGAGCTTCCATTCCCTACCCCTCCCAGCGCTAGCCCGCCATCAGGCATGGGTCCTGATGGGTCCAGGATTCTTTCTTGAAAATTCCCCCAGTCAGCTGAGACTGCAGAAGCTCACAGAAGTGAACCAGGAGATGGGAACAAGCCCTGCACGTAGGGAACAAGCATAAATAGTGGCGGTTGTTAGGGGACGCTTGGTCCTGCCTCCTCATAGCTCCTTTCCTGGAGACCGCCATACATCCATGGCGACCTTTCTCATGCTCTGCACTCGTGTGTAGGCCAGAGGCTGAGAACTGTCCATGGGCTCCCTGTTTGGCCCTCCAAGTGTCCCATGGCTGGGAGGTGTCCACAACCGCTCCCCATTCGGCCTACACTATTTCCCCATCATCTTTCCCTCGAAAGAGTGCCAGGAACTGCCATCCTCCACCTGTCACTGTCCCCGACCTGCAAGTCACCAAGGCCCTCCTGGGCCTCGGTAGATTCACTGCCCATCATGCTCATGTCTCACAAGGCTTCAGAGGGCCGGAAGCAGAGCTACTTCCTCTACTCTGCTAAAAGCTTCTCTCCACACTCCACATTCAGGACGAAGGTGCATGGGCTACTTGCGTGGGTCCTGTCCCACCCTCCAAGGAGCAGGATAGGGACCGGGGTGCTTGGGGGAACAAAAGCAGTGCAGTGCAGATACGGAAAGAGTGAAAGCCCCACCGGGCTGGTGGCCACTTGACGTTACCGGGTATCGGTACTACAGCAAGGGCAGGCATGAGTGCTTTTACAAACACAGCCCTGTTGCCAGTGACCCAGGCTGGAGACAGAACCCCCACTGCCACAGTCAAGGTTGCCCACCGGCCTGACCCCTATAGGCCTGTGGTGTGTCACAAGACCCACAGGTGCCATGCTCACTCGGTCAGCGTGTTCACTCCCCACTCGGGTCACACTGCAGCCCGTGGCGGCATAGCCCAGCGTTTACCCACACGCACTGCTATGATTTGTGGGGCCTCTTCCCGAGCCCAGACTTTCCCCAGACCTGAGTATCTGTGTATTCTCCGCACCTAGGCCGTCACTGAGAGGTTATTGGTTCCAGGAAAGGCAGAAACTGTGGGGCGGCGCTCCCTGTACCGTTAGGAGTGCCAGGGCCCCTCTGCAGTCCTCTTAGCTGTTCTGCTGAGTTTACAGTGGAAGTGCATACTATTGCTTCGTTCGTGTCGGGACTTGAGCCACAGAATCCCACCCTAAGAAGAGATTCATTTCCCCAAGAAGATCCCCACGCTCCTCACTCAGTGCTGGGGACTCAGGAGGAGCAGGCCAGAGTCTGCAGCTCTGTGGCAGAAGCATCATGAAGGAACGGAGGAAGGAGAGAGAGAGAAGTGTCGTGGACTGTGCTGTGAAGAGGCAGGAGATGTCTCTGGCTATGTCAGCTTCTTCTAGGATCTAGGCTCCTCCTACCCCAATTTGCTGACCTTCATGGATGGGCAACCCAGACCTTAACCACAGGGAAAAAATACTCTATCTCCAGAGTAGAAAGGGAAGTATCCAAGAACTCAGGTCCTGGGTCACGTCAATGGAACTAGCAGTTGGGTCAGCATCCCAGCCCCCATTTAGGGCCATCCTGTGCTCTTCTTCTCACCCTGGTAGAGGGAACCAGAGTGGACACTCAGAAGCAGGGAGAGAGAGAAACTAGAAGGTCAGGCCTACAGGCAGGCTCTGTGCTGCTGGCCACGTCTGGAGGGGAGGAGCTGTCTCACACCAAAGCCCCAAGGGAAAGGCTGTTCAAGGCCACAAAGCCTGCCACTACTGGGTCTAGGATGCCAGGGCTGAAGCTTCCCCAGTCTCTGCCAGCATGGGGAGGGGGTAGAGAACTCTCTACCTGGTGACAGCCAGTTGGCCACAGCGGTCAGGGGAGGCAGGGATGAGTCAGTGTCCATCTTGTGAGACTATTGTGGGCTTCCACGGAGGTTTCCCCATACACCAGGTCGGAGTGTGGAGAGTATCAGGAGTATTGGGGAGGGTGGGGAATCTTCAGCCCCGCTACTATGATTACAGACCCAGGGTCCCAAATTCAAAGGCTGGATGTCGGCCCTAAGATTCCTCTCGCCTCCAGCACCCATGCCACTCAGCTTCAAGCTGTCTATTCTTGTTATTTTTAATATCCTTTAAAAGTTGGAGGGGGGGGCTGTATCTGTGGCCCGCCAGAAATCTCTGTTTCCTCTGGGCCAGGAAACAGGAAGTGTGTGTGTTGGGTGATGGGGAATCTGGGCCCCTGAGAACAATGGAAGCACCATTGAGGGGGAAAGGGAACTACGTCAGGGCCTGGGGCTGCAGGAAGCCTGACCTCTCCTTCTGTGAGCCTGAGGGGTCTTTGACATAAATTTAGCTTGAGTTCTTTTCCTGAGGAAAAGCCCAAAGCTCCATGGTGGGAAGCAGGGGTGCAGAGTCTGATCTCAGTCCTTGGCGGGTCAGGGTTTTCTTCATCTGTGGGTAAACTGAGGATGGGGGAGAGCAGAAGCGGAGGTTTCTGGGTCCTGAGGCATCGACTACTCCCCCACTCCAACTCTCCGCTAGCGCTTTGCCTGCAGACATCAAACAGGGTCTCCTGGAAATGCTGCGCCCAGCCCTGGCTCTGGCTACAGGCAGGCAGCGTGTGTCACCTCCCAATCCCATTTTCCTAATTCCTCAAGGATGTTGACTCTGGCTGCCCATGGTGTGGCAGGGCTGTTGAGGGTGGGCACCACTGACAGAGAGAGCCCTGGGCTCCTTGTAACACTGGTTCACAGCCCTAGGCAGCCCGGGAAGAGAGCTCACGAGGGGCCAGGCTGGGGCTAGCAGATGGGTTCCTCTTTGTAGCACAGCAAATTTATCAAGAGGATGTTCACAAGCATGGTCCACCCATTAGCGTGTAAGATCCAATGTGCTGGGGACAATCGGAACTTGTGTGACCGTTATCATAGGCAATTCTAGAGTACTGTCCCCACCTTAAGAGAGCTCCGGTTGTTCTGTCAGGCCATCCCCAGGCCCCAGGTAACCCTCTAATACAGTCTCAGTCTCTAGAGAGTAGCCCCACCGGGACAGTACTTTATTGTGTCTGCCCTCTTTGCTATCACAGTTTTTCCGTTTCTTCCAGGTTGCAGCATGAATCATAGCTTCGTTGTGGTTGAGCCACATTCCATTAAACGGCTAGAGCACACGGTGAGTCCATTTACCTATGGACCATGGCCTCCTTTAGTTGTTCTGAACCTGGCGTCGGTGGTTTTTCAGACCACAGACAACCTTTTGTGACCATGCATCTGGGCTGGGAGGCCAGGGGTCAAACGCCAGTCTGTATCTGATTCTCTTAAAGGGCTAGTCCCAGCTGTTTTCCATAGCATTGCCCCATCTACGATCCACAGCCTCTGGCCATCTCGAGGGGATCTAGAGGAGTTAGTGAGGCTGAGGCAGCTGGTAGAGACAGTGCGCCATTCCGTCAGGATGACTGTACAGGGGTTAAAGTGAGGGAGTTACCACCGCTGCTGCTGCTGCTGCTGTGACCTCCTCTGGGCCAGGCACAGATACAACCATGCACACCACCACACTCCCTGTAATGCTCTTGAGGAATTACATCACACCTTGCTGTAGCTGGGACACCAAGACCTAGAGAGAAACTGGCCCAAGTCCCTGCCCTGGGGCGGGCAAAGTGAACTGGCAGTGACTGTGGGCCCCACCATCAAGTTCACCTACAGGAGAGGTGGCCAGTGGAGCAAGGAATCCCAGCATCCAAAGTCCTGGTAGGAGTGACAGTTCTGACTGGACAGGGTATCAGGGCTGGGTAAGGAGCCAAGGTCAGAGCCCTGGCTGAGTGGACTAGAAGCGGGCACAGGCTCTGCTGGGTCCTAGAACCAGCCTCTGCCATACCTCCAAGGGCCAAATACATAGGGTGTCCTTCTGCAGACCCCAGGGGAGCAAATCCTAGCAGGGGCCTACTGTGGTTAGTAAGCTGGCCAGGCTAGGACCTACCGTCAACCCCCAAGGATGATTCCCGGAATTTTTGCCTTTAAGAATTTCTTGCTGTTCCGCTGCTGTACTCCAGGGCAGCTGCGGCCCTGGGGACCACGTTCTCCTTATCCGGGATGGGTGAGGGTTGGGGAGCAGACCTTGTGTGGGGACAACACCAGTTTCAGTCAGGCCTGTGCTCAGGGTTCCGCTAGGGTCCTGAGAACCCCAGGTCCCTGTGTAGTCTCAGCCACAACCCCACCCTTTCCAGTCCCGTTTCTTCATCTTAGGGAATGCCAAGCTCCATTCACCCAGTCTTTGTATCACATGGATGTTGGTACTCTCCCAACCCTCGTCATGCCAGGTGGGGCCCGTGGCTGAAACAAGCCACTACTTTGTGTATACAGCCATACCGTTGTATAGAACACAAGTCCCCCGAGCTGTGTGTGGCTAGTGTTGGCCTCTGCCCACTCCAAGCCCCTGCCATCGCCCCCCCCCCCCGATTCTAGGATTCAAGTGCTAGGATCTCAAGCCAGAAGCCTTGAGGCCAGGTCTCTTCGCTGCCTCCAGCCTGACTTCCTGGGCTCCCCCAGTGTCCTCCTAGGTCCTGCTTTTTCCCTCTTCACTTGCCCTGAGGGCGATCACATGGAGATGGGCCTGGGCTTTGCCAGGCAAAAGTGGCAAACCCAGCCTTTTTAAGCCCTTGGCAGTCACTGTGAACAAGGGACAGCCACCCTCAAGCCCCATTCCATCCCACATGGCCCCTTCTGGACTCAGTCAGGATGTC